GCTCTATTTTCATATATTTCATCTTATACATTTGCTAGTGGACGTATAATGTAAAGGTCGATAAAGTTCGGGAAGCTTCGTGTAGTATCTTAAAACAAGGGCACCATATAACATGAGTAAACACTGATGATTGAGTAGAGTAAGTTCAGAGTTAGAAAAGTTACTTACAGATAGAAGAAAGAGTTATCACGTCTATTTTGTTATTCAGTTATTCGATCAATTATACGTGAAATTCTATCATTTATTTTATAAGTACGTTTGGCCTACAATCATGTCGGAGCTTATGTTAAAATGTTTATGAAACTGAAATTAGGCCTACAAGTGAACAAACGTTTATTGAAGACATACATTAATTGTTATCATTACATAGATTGGAATTGGCAATATCTTACCAAATAATACAAAAATACCCACCTAATAATAGAACAAAAGGAGAGATCTATGGGATAATTTTGGAGAAAATATAATAGATCTTAGAATAAACTTCAACTTTCAAGATGACAACACAATTTACTGGAAATAGGGAATATCAGCCTGATAGGGTGAAGTAAGGTGGGGTTTTTTTGAGACATGTGCCCGTTTCGGTAATCGTGTAAAGCTATCAAGAACCCTGATAATCAAGTGGCTAATAAGGTTCTGCCCTGGTAATAGACATATTAGGTCTAGTGTATAGCACATACTGAGGGGTTAATGGCTGAATGAGTTCCCGAGGAACCAAACAAATAAAATTATCATCATTGGGTCCACAGACGCAAGAAATCACAAGTCGTCAGTCATCCTCTCTTTGTGTAGCGAAATGTTTAAACCATCCAGGATCTTCTCTCATTGTCTACCTCTACTTATTTTCCTCACAAATTTCCCAGTTGTTAACAAGTGTTCCATCCCTCATCACATGACCAAACAATGCTGCTTGTTTTTTACGTACTTTTGTTATCAGTGTTTTTTGTTTGTTGTAGAACTTCATTTGTTATCCGGTCTATATAGGAAACCCTAAATATTCTACACAGGAACCATATTTCAGTCGTATTCAGTTAATTTTCCATTTGTTTGTTTATTGTCCATGATTCACAACCGTACATCAAGATTGGTTCGATGTAGAAGCTAAGAACTCTTACGTTTCAATCGTTAGAGTATAAGAAAAGACTTGACCCTTTCGAAACGGGTCACGGGTGAAATGCCATATCATCTCGTTGTTCATTCACACTCAAAATTTTATTCAACTACTATTTCATGAATTGATGTTAATATTTTGGATATCAATCTGTAGATTATACTTCAAATTTTGATACTATATCGGACATGGATAACCAATTGGAAGCTCAGAATGTCCCCTAGTGGCTTTCTGAGCCATTTTGACGGACCTAGCGCCAATAATTTCTTTTGAACCAAGATTTCAACGAGGTAAGGTGTATCTTTAGTCTGATCAAAATTTCATATTTTTTT